AGCGTTGTCTTTTGCTAGGGGAACAGGCATCACAGGATGTACAGCTGGAGGAGCAGCTCGCGGAGTTAGACGAGGCCGCGATCGAGGGGCGAGAGATACCATTCAAGACGATCCCTATCTCGCCCTGGATCGCTACATCATTGGAGGAGCCGCCAGAGCTGGAGCTTAAGCCCCTCCCCTCTCACCTGGAGTATGCATTTCTCTGGGAGGGGAATAAGCTCCCGGTCATTATCAGCTCGGATCTGACACCCGAGTAGAAGAGCAGGCTGGTGGCTCTGCTGCAGAAGTATGCCCGGGCCATGGCATGGAAGATCACAGATATCAGAGGCATTAGCCCATCCTTCTGCTCCCACATAATTCTGATGGAGGATGAGGTTAAGCCAGTTAGGCTGCCACATCGGAGATTGTCTCCCAACTTGGAGGCAGTGGTCCGGACAGAGATTGTGAAGCTCATGGATGCAGGGATCATCTTTGCTATATCTGATAGCAAGTTGGTCAACCCCACTTAGTTGATCCCGAAGAAAGGCGGGATGACTGTGGTCCCGAATGAAAAGAAAGAGTTGATCCCGATGCGGACCGTGACCGACTGGAGAGTCTGCATCGATTACCGGCGCCTGAACGACGCAACCAGGAAAGATCATTTTCCCCTACCTTTCATTGATAAGATGCTGGAGAGGTTGGCTGGTCATGAGTTTTATTGCTTCCTGGATGAAATGTATGGTTATTTCCATATTCCTATTGCATTAGAGGATCAGGCGAAGACCACATTCACTTGCCCCTTCGGTACTTTTGCTTACCGGAGGATTCCATTCGGGCTGTGTAATGCACTGACAACCTTCCAGAGATGCATGTTGGCGATCTTCGACCGATTGGTTAGAGAGATCATGGAGGTCTTCATGGATGACTTCTCAGTTTATGGAGACTCCTTCACTCATTTGTCTCCATAACCTGGAACTCGTTCTGAAGAGGTGCGAGTAGACTAATCTGGCACTCAACTGGGAGAAGTGCCATTTTATGGTACGTGAGGGGATTGTGCTCGGTCACAAGATCTCCAAGCAAGGGATTGAGGTGGATCTCACGAAGATTGAGACGATCAATAAGCTACCTCCTCCCAAATTTGTGAAGGGGATTCACAGCTTTCTGGGTCATGCAGGCTTCTACCGGCGCTTCATTAAAGATTTCTCGAAGATTGCCCTACCTCTAAGCAAGCTGCTGGAGAAGGATGCACCATTACAGTTCACTCCTAAGTGCACAGCTGCATTTGAGACACTAAAGGAGAAGCTTACCCATGCACCTATCATGGTGACTCCTGACTGGTCTCTTCCTTTTGAGCTGATGTGCGATGCGAGTGACTATGAAGTCGAGCAGTTCTGGGTCAGAGACGCGAGAAGCACTTCCATCCCATCTACTGCGCGTCGAAGACATTGAACAATGCACAGGAGAATTACACCACCACTGAGAAGGAGCTCCTCGTTGTGGTGTATGCATTTGATAAGTTCCGACCCTATCTGGTGCTCTCCCATGTGGTGGTCTACACTGAACACTCGGCGATTCGCTACCTGATGAGCAAGGCTGATGCAAAGCCTAGACTCATCCGCTGGATCCTGCTTCTGCAGGAATTCGATATAGAGATCCGGGACAAGAAGGGAGCCGAGAATGTTGCTGCAGATTACCTTTCACGGTTGGAAGCCCCTCCGGTGGACAACTTCGTGGAGGAGATCGATGACTCTTTCCCGTGTGAGCGATTGTTGGGGATGACATTGGTGGACAACGTGGTCCCCTGGTATTCTGACTTTGCCAATTATCTGGTGGGCAAGCAGCTACCAAAGGGGATGGCCACTCATGCGAAGCACAAGTTCTTCTCCGACCTGAAGCATTACTTCTGGGAGGATCCTTACCTATTCAGGATCGAAGCAGATGGCGTGCTCCGGCGCTGCGTCATGGAGCACGAGATGGGAGACATCCTGTCTTAATGCCACGAGGGACCTATTGGAGGTCACCATGGAGGAAACCGCACGGCGCGGAAGGTGCTACTGTCGGGCGTCTATTGGCCCTCGCTCTTCAAGGATGCAGACACCTTCGCACGACAGTGCGACCGCTGCCAAAGGTCAGGTAACATTTCCTCCCGGGATGAGATGCCCCAACATATTTCTGTCATTTGTGAAATTTTTTATGTTTGGGGTATCGATTTCATGGGCTCATTCCCTCCATCTTTTGGCAATCTGTACATTCTGGTTGCAGTGGACTACGTCTCGAGGTGTGCAGAAGCTCAAGCCATGCCCATCAATGATGCAAGACAGGTCTGCTCATTTCTGAAGCAGCTGTTCTCCCGGTTCGGGACAACTCGCACCATCATTAGTGATAGAGGAACCCATTTTCAAGGGCAATTAACTAAACTCCTCTCTCGCTATGGTGTTAAGCATCAGGTGTCGGTGGCTTACCATCCCCAGTCAAATGGGCAAGCCGAGCTGATGAACCGGGAGCTTAAGCAAATAATTGAAAAGACGGTGGATCAGTCCCGCAAGGATTGGTCCACCAAGCTCGATGATGCTCTTTGGGCATATAGGACGGCCTATAAAAACCCAATTGGCACTTCTCCCTATAGGCTTGTCTATGGGAAGGCGTGTCATTTGCCAGTAGGGCTAGAGCACAAGGCCTTCCGGGCCATTAAGCTGCTCAACCTAGATTTGAGTGTTGCAGGTACTGAACGTAAGTTGCAGCTGCTGGAGTTGGAGGAATGGCGTTACCACGCCTACGAGAACACCCTGCTCTACAAAGAGCGAACCAAGCGTCTCCACGACGCTCGGTTGAGGGGCCCAAATGAGTTTCAGGTAGGTGATCGTGTTCTGCTCTTCAATGCACGCCTGACGTTCGAGGTGGTCGGGACCCTTCACGGTCACCCAAGTTTTCCCACACGGTGCGGGGGAGATTAGCAATGCTCAAACTGAGCCATTCAAGGTGAATGGCCACCTCCTAAAATTGTACTTGGGAGGTGCTATCGAGCGCGCAGAGCTGTTGATCAAGCTCGAGGACCCTTAGCTCCTCTACTGGCGTCCAACTAAAAGACGGTAAAGAAGCGCTTGTGGGGAGGCAACCCCACCTAGGTTTGCATTTTCTTTCCTTTTTCTTTTGATTTTTTGTGTTTTTGAGTCTTGAGGTGTTGTCCAAGGGACGAATGTAGATTTTGCGCGAAAACAGGTCAAATTCGGGGCTGTGGAATTCCACACGGCCAGGCCTAAATCCCACACGGCCAGGTGGAATTGGCTTCTGGATGTGTGGAAGCCCTGGAAAATTCACACGGGCAGCAGGGGTCCCTCACACGGCCGTGTAGATTTGGCCTTTGGCTGTGTGAGGGCTCGGTGATTTTCACACGGCCAGAATTGCTCTTTCGCGCGGCCGTGTGAAATCCTTCGGCCATGCCGTGTGCTTTTCTCGACCACACACGGGCACTATTGCACCTCACACGGCCGTGTGCCCGTGCCCCTGTGGCCAAGCCAGCGTCTATAAATTTAACCCACACGGCCGCGTCGCCAGAAAATCCAACTACCTTCGCCGGAATCCTCTCCCCCTCATCAGAAAACCGCGAATTTTCACCTTTGGGGATTTTCCGGTCATTTTTTGTCGATTTTTCACCAAACCAACACCACACCCAACCTTTCCTCCCCATTTTCGGCCTATCCCTCGATTTTGAGGCGATTTGGACTGATTTTGAGTCGCCGGAGGCGATTTCCGGCGAGACTCCGGCGAGGCTCCGATGAGCATTTCCGGGCAGATTTTGGGGTTTTCGTCGCTTCCATTGCCTTCCTCTCATCATCCCCTACACCTCTACTTGTGTCTCCAGGTTTGATTTTGCCCTTTACCTTGTGAATTGTGAAGAATTGGGTGTTAGGGTGTATGTTTAGAGAACAACTTTGCAATGTGTGAATTGTGTGCAATTGATTGAGGGGAAGGCTTGGTTTACGTGTGAATTGTGTTGGGCAATGTCCCCCATGCTTGTTTGAGCCCTTGTGTGCAAGAAATTTTCCAATTCCATGCTTAACTTAATAGTGCACACAAGGTGTTCGATGAAATGCCAGTTTTCATACCATTTTGTGGGAGCCGGTTGGGGCCCTTAATGATGTGCTTTGATGGTGTATTTGCTATGGATGTGAACCTTAAGTTGCCTAGTACATTGTGGATGTTCACCCCCACCCAAATTGTGCTTGTTTGATTGAGTTATTGACCCCCGAACTATGGATGAAACCATGGTTTGGTTGTTTCTGTTCTCAAGTGTGGGGGTGTGATTAACCTTTTCTATGGCTCTTTTGGCTCCACTTTGAGTTGTTCTTTTGCAGGACCATGACGAAACATGACCTCAAGCACCCGTTCATCTGGGATTTGAAGAGGGGCCCCCACCAGGATCGCTTTAAGCACGTCCTGGCCTGCTCGTTTAGGAAGCATCATTACTGGTCCAGGAGGGAGTTTGACAAGCTGAATTGCTGCGACCACTTCCTCGCCATTACCACCAACTGCCCTTGGCGCCGTCTGCTGTCCATTCGAGAGAAGGTCTACTGATAACGATGTAATTGCACATATTTGCGCCCCTAGTTCTTATCCGTTTGAGGGGCATAGTCGTGTATTTTTGTCCTATTTTACGCCGGGTTGTGCTATTTTGACATATTTCAGATCCCAGGCGTCAAAGGAAAGGCTAAGCACGAGTTTCGGGGCATTCGGAAGTCATTTCGTCGAGCTGGAGCCAAAACACGGGCACACCTAAAACAGAACACGGTCGTGTTCTGTGGCCGTGCTTTTACTGCCGAGAGCTAATTGAGTTTGGCAAATTCAAGCTGCAAACACGGCCGTGTCCACCAAAGCACAGCCGTGTCCTCCCAAAAGCACGGCCGTGTTTCTCCCAACACAATGGCCGTGTAATTAACCCTAGCCAAAGCACGGGCGGGCTAAGGCAAAGCACGGCCGTGCCCTCGACCGTGCTTTGGCCACTGATGCCCTTTTAAGCAGATTTCAGCCAAAACAGAAGGGGATTCGAGTTTTGAGAGAGAGAGAGCGATTCCTAGAGAGAGAAAGCGACGAACAAGAGTCTCCAAGTTCCCTAGCTTGATCTTCATCACCATTGGGGGCCAGCTTGAGCTTGGAGAAGTGCCGATCAACGTCCAGGAGCAGGAATCCATCCTTCACAGTATGAATTCCGCGTCTGATTCTGCTTTTGCTTCTTTCTCCATGGAGTAGTTCTCCCATTCATCTGGGTATGGAGAACCCTAGATTTGTATGTTAGGTTTGATTGTATGAACCCAAGTACTGATTCTATGAGTTGATTATATTCGATTGAGGTTTGAATGACTTGAATCCTGATCAAATTCCTGTTGTTTCTGCTTTAACCTAGAATGAGAATATCTGCCTAGGTTGATAGAGCATCCTTGATTGAAGGTAGGGAGTTGGTGACTTTAGTCGAGGAGCCAACTCACTATTCTGTACCGGATTCATTTCGGTAGTGGAGGTTTTGTTCAAAGGGCCTCAATCTGTTTACTCCGGTGGAGGTTAGTCGCCCGCTAGAGACTCAGATTGAGAGGGTCTGAAGACCTTTAGTCGAGACTTCAGGCTGTTTAAGAACCTTCCGCAATATAACTATCATAGAAACTGAACTTGGTAATTACAATCCGGCTTAACTGCAGTCTAGGGGGAACCATATCCGGGTGACCTCTCTTAACCTGAATACAACAATTTACTTGCTTTTTTAGTTTGTTAGTTTAGACTTGCATTAAAGTTTCATTGCTAGATAACAAGAATTCACCGAGTAGTCATCAAATCTAGGACCCGGGTTGACATTTAAACCCAAACCCGCTATACTACGCTTTAGGAAGTGGTTTCACTTGGCCAATTCCTAGGATGACAGTAGAAGTGAGTCATCTACCACGAGCTGGTGCTCGAGTTCTATATGACCTTCAAGCACGAAGATACAGAGGACTGGACGGACGGTGAAGCCGTCAAGTTCAGGCTCGGCGGTGCGCCCCGCTCCATGAGCTACCACGATTTGGCGACCGCTCTCGACCTCGGCCTGGTCGATGATAAGGACTACGTCACCGAGCTCAACGATCCAGTGGGTGTTAACTTCAAGACGCTGTACACCCGCCTAGCTCAGCCAGGCCAGCGTCCCTTCGTTGCAGGGCGGACGAAGGCCAGCACCCTGCACCTCGATAACCGCATTCTCCACCACATGCTGGCGAAGTCCTACACTCCAGCTGGGGACAGTGCCAGCACCCTCACCAAGAGATCCATGTACTTCATCCAGTCCATCCGCCAGGCAAACCATCCGCTCCACCTGGGTTCTGTGGTGGCCAAGACGGTGGAAAAGAGTGCTTCACAATTAGGGACCCTCCACTGCACCTCCCTCATCATCCGCCTGGCCACCTACTTCCAGATCCCACTGCAGGGTTTCACAGAGCTGGGGGGCACTAGTGTTTTCGGTGAAGAAACGATCAAGAATATGCACCTGCTCCGAGTCGAGCGCGGCATCAAGTGGATCGAGGGGTTTCCTGCTCCTCAAATCCCAGCGGAGGACCAACCGGATGTTCCTACGGATGAGGCCACTGAGGATGCCCACCCCGAGGATGTGGATGATGCTGATGCCCCCCGCCCGACCACCATCGAGTACGGGGGTATCAGTTTCACCTTCCCATCCCAGGACTACTTCACTCACCAGTTCCAGCAGCTAAGTCTCCAGAATCAGAACCTCCTCGACCATAATCTCCAGTTCCAGCAGCAATACTCGGATCACCAGGCCGAGTATCACACCCGGATGGCTGCCTATGATGCGCGCCATGATCGCACGGAGACCCAGCAGGGGGTGACCCTTGCTCACATCGAGCGGGAGCGGGCCCGATCTCGCCGTAAGTAGGAGGTTCAGCAGCACCTGCTCCAGCTGATACCGGGCGGGCAGCCAGTCTGGAGGACTCCCTGTGAGGACTCTCCCTTCCACCCCCGGCCGCAAGAGATGACGCCTTCATGAACGACATCGACTTTGACAACCTTGGCGATGAGTAGTTTGTACTCGTCGCCCCTCAGAGTGTGTTTTTGTTTAAGACTTTTCGTGTTTGCTCCATGTTTGTGCGGAGCTTGAACTGAGTCTGTCGTTTGTTTTTGTTTTTTGTTTTTTTTTCTTGTGGATTGTCTATTCTGTGACCATCTGGGCTAACTCTGATCCCTAACGCACAGTGTGCTAGTGTGTTCTTGATGTTTCGTTCGTGCAGAACAATTTCGTTCGTTCCATATGTTCCCCAGTGACTGGTCCACTTCCAGTCTCTCGGCAGTAATTCCATCCGGTAACATCCTTCCCCTTATCTCTCCCTCTACTCCATTGAGGGAAATGTTGTGCTTAAGTGTGTGTGTGGGGGGGGGGGGTGCTTTGTATCGATTGGAATCTCTATATGTGTGCTTGGGGCCTAGTCCGCTGTCCAAATCTCGAGATTTGAGGGCTCCAAGCACCGTTGTTTGCTTGATCATATTGGCACTGTGGAGTTAATTGATGTATATTATGGCTTTCGAATTGATGCTTGACAACTAGAGTGTGACTAGGACAGCCAATAACGATGACTGAGACGTGCAGTAGAATTGTGTAGGGGTTCAGTTTTTCAACTGTTTGCTTACCAACTGTGACTTGGATTGATCACTTGTTCTTGACAGTCGTTTATGCATCTAGTTCAGGGAATTAGAATGAGAGATAGAGCATATAGGTAGCCATGTGAGATTTGAGCCTTCTCATTTCTTTCTTGTGCGATAGTTCCCTCTTCCATGATGTGCAGCATTCACGTTGTCACTAGCTAAGATGATGGAGGCATCGGATTAACCCATGACAAAATTGATTGTCCTGGTGTGTCATACCCCCTAGTCAGCCCCTTTGAGTCGTGTACTTTTCTTTCTTTCGGTCTATAATGAAAAATCACCCTTTTGCATCTCTTAGAAGGTTCCACAGAGTAGTTTTTACATGTTCTCTGCTGTTTCTGCTAAAAATAATGTGAGGGTTGGTGGTAGTTCTTAAAAAGTTGGGCATGTGTTTGAAAAATGTGCATAGGTGGTGGTTCTCTCAAGAAATGAAAAAAGAAAAGAAAAGAAAATGAATGAAAGCAAAAGAGAGCCATGATAACATCGTATTTGCACATGTTTGCACCCTCGTTTCTTGATCATTTTGTCTTGAGTTTTTTCCTTCTTGGACTATTTTATGCTAGGTTGTGTTCCTTTGTCACATTTCAGGTCCTAGCATGTAAATTGAAGCAAAGGCGCAAGTTTCAAGTCAATCGGAATTCATTTGGCAATTCGGGAGAAGAAACACGAGCATGACCCGAGGAAGAATGGACTTCTACCTCATATTATGTACAAATAATCATGGAATCTTGTCATGAAAAGATAGAGGACGAGACTACGAGCGTCTGGGATCAAACGGCGACTGATTCGGAGTCCGGACGAGGGAGAAACGAAGCATTAAACATGGGCGGAGGAAGAATTACGGGCAGGGGAATTACGACCGTATTTTCCCCTCCCGTGCCCGTATTTTCACTGCCGAGAGGAGCTTTGGATGCGCTGAAACTTAACCAAAACGCGTGTTTTGAGCAAAATACGGGCATGGAAGAATTACGACCGTATTTCTGCCCATATTTCACCCAGAATCGGGTTTTTGAGGCAGATTCGAGCCAAAGGAAAGGGAGAGCTGGGTTTTGGTTCCCAAACACCCAAGGGACGAACCCTAGAGAGAGAGAGAGAGACTTGGGAACATTCTTGGAGCTATTTTGGAGGATTTCTTCACCATTGAAGCTCAGGAATCAAGCTTGGAGATGGAGATTGAAGATCTAGATCAGATTTCTGCAGTCTCTCTCTTCTCTATGGAGTAACTTCCCTTCACTTAGGTTTTGAGACCCCCTAGTTCCATGTGTTAGGATCTTTCTTGTATGAAGTTTTGGATGCTATATTGTTTGATTATAATCGATTGAGGCATGATTTATAGAGTCAATTGAAGCCTGATCATCTTCTCTTGATTTCTGCTTTAACCTATGATAGATACAATATGATTAGGTTAAGAGAGGTTCCTTGATTGATAGTGGTGAATTGGTTGTGCGAGAGTCAATCAATTCAATGCTTTGTACTGTAATTCATTCTAGTAGTGGAGATCTGTGTGAATCGCCTTAGCAGTCTATCCCGGTGAAGGCTAGTCGCCTGCCGGGTATTCTGTCTAAGAGGGCTTGGTCAGCTTAAGAGATTCCAAGCTAATTTAGGATCTTTCGCAGTTTAATCAACAGTAGATCAACCAAAGGTAATTGCAACTTGGACCTAATTGAGGAGCTAGGGGGAATCATACCTAAGTGAGTTCCCAACTTGTAATTAGTAGAGTACTTAGTAGAGTAGTTTAGTAAATCAATCCTTAATCTAGTTTGCTAGATAATGAACTGAAGCTGAGTAATAGTAACTCTAGAGACTCGTGGATTCGATATTTATTACTTGTGCCACTATACTGCAGTCCCTTTCATTGGTTACACTTGGCCATTGTTAGGTGTTGTGTTTTAGCGAGTCAAGCCACCACCACAAAATTCTGAATAGTGCCCATTAAGTAGTGTTTCTTAGCAGTCTGGCTTGGAAATACTAACATTTATGTGACCTCCTTCGCTCTTGTGCTCTAGAGAATGTTAGTAATGCAGAATGGCAGAAAGAAAGTAAGTGGGTTGATTGACTGTGATTGTGTTGGGTTGGGAATTGTGGAACCTTGTGCCATAATACTTCCACCACCTAAAAAGCCTTTTCCCCATGTCCAAGACCCTAACCAGTCACTTGAACCTGTGTCTAAGACCTCCGGATTAGTTAGTGATGACACCCATTTATGTGAAATCTAACATTTAGAGGTTGTCGTCATGGTGAAGAAAAGTTAGGGATTGAGAGAATAAGCATGCGCATTTTTCGCATCAAATTGTCCTGACCCCACTGGTCGAGAGTGAGCGATTCATTTTCTCATATTCTCTATACTCTTTTACCCTGGTGAGGACCTAGATTGCTCGGTCTCAATTCTGATATTGTGAGTTTTGTGCATGAGGTGACTGTCTTGATTAAGTGGTTGAGTCAAGTATATGTTGGTTGATGAACAGAAGGGAGACTCCTCCTTTACTCGATTTTGCTGCACTAGAATGTCCTCTATGGTGGTTGTCCAGGTTGCTATTGAAGTTGTTCATGTGTTGATGTTTAAAAGCCAGAACGATTCACGTGTTCTGTGCCTATATGAATTGTCCCCAATGTTGGTATGATTGAAATATGCTGAGCTTACCTTGTATCTGACTTGGTTTGCTTGGGGACAAGCAAACGGTTAAGTGTGGGGGAATTTGATGACTTGATATATACACGTGTATTTGCCCGCCATTTTTACACCATTTGAGTCGTATTTCTCGTGTTTTAGGCCGATTTCACACTAGGTTGTTATTATTTGTGATATTTCAGGTCTGAGTACGTGAATGAAGGTTTGGGAACGAGTTTGGGGTCGATGGGACGAAGATTGGACATTTGGCGAGAAGCTGAAGAAGCCACACGGGCACGCCTAAAAACCCACACGACCGTGTGACCTGGCCGTGTGACATCAAATTGCACGGGAAAGCCACACTGGCTGTGTAAGGGAACCCATGTGGCCGTGTGGAAATTCCAGGGAACTCACACGGGAAGCCTGGAAATCCACACGGCCGTGTGGTTTTGGCCGTGTGACACGCTAAAACACAACACCTAACAATGGCCAAGTGTAACCAATGAAAGGGAATGCAGTATAGTGGCACAAGTCATAAATATTGAATCCACGGGTCTCTAGAGTTACTATTACTCAGCTTCAATTCATTATCTAGCAAACTAGATTAAGGATTGATTTACTAAACTACTCTACTAACTACTCTACTAACTACAAGTTGGGAACTCACTTAGGTATGATTCCCCCTAGATCCTCAATTAGGTCCAAGTTGAAATTACCTTTGGTTGATCTACTATTGATTAAACTGCGGAAGATCCGACAGTAGCTTGGAATCTCTTAAGCTGACCAAACCCTCTCAGTCCAACTACCCGGCAGGCGACTAACCTTCACCGGGATAGAAAGTTGAGTCTATGAACACAAAACTCCACTACCGGAATTGGATTCCAGTACAAAGCAGTAGATTGACTAACTCTCGTATAACCAATTCACCATCATCAATCAAGGAAGCTCTCTTAACCTAATCAGATTCTATCTATCATAGGTTAAAGCAGAAATCAAGAGAATTTGATCAAGATTCAATTGACTCAGTAAATCATGCCTCAATCGATTATAATCAAACAATATAGCATCCAAAACTTCATACAAGAAAGATCCTAACACATGGAACTAGGGTTCCTCAAAACCTAAGTGAAGGGAAGTTACTCCATAGAGAAGAGAGAGACTGTAGAAATCTGATCTAGATCTTCAATCTCCATCTCCAAGCTTGATTCCCAAGCTCCAATGGCGAAGAAATCCTCCAAAATAGCTCCAAGAATGTTCCCAAGTCGCTCTCTCTCTCTAGGGTTCGTCCCTTGGGTGTTTGGGAACCAAAAACCCAGCTCTCCCCTTTCCTTTGGCTGAAAATCGAGTTTTAAACAGAAATTCCCGATCATGCGGCCAGGCCACACGGCCTTGTTGCTTTCCCAGCTGCCCGTGTGAAGGCTCTGTGATTTTCACACGGCCACAACCCACACGGCCGTGTGGAATTCCAGGATGCCTGTGTGGCTTGCTCAGCCTCAGTTTAATGCTTCATTTCTCCCTCGTCCGGACTCCGAATCAGTCCCCATTTGATCCCAGACGCTCGTAGTCTCGTCCTTTTCTTTTCATGACAAGCTTGCATGATTCTTTGTCCATAAAGTGAGGTAGAAATCCATTCTTCTTCAGGTCATGCCCGAGTTTCTTCTCCGAATCGTCAATTGATGTCTGATTGATTTGAAACTTGCGCCTATGCTTCACTTTATGTGCTAGGACCTGAAATGTGACAAAGGAACACAACCTAGCATAAAATAGGCCAAAGAAGCGATAATGCAAGCTTAAACGATCAAGAAACAAAGGGGAAAACATGTGCAAATATCGAGTCATCACCGTGTAGCATGCCTGAAGTCCACTTATCGAAACGCCGCGTTTTGCACACTCACACGGGCAGCTGGGAAAGCCACACGGCCATGTGGTCGGGAATTTCTGGGTATTAACCCAAATTCGAGCCAAAGGAGAGGGAATCGATTTTTTGGAGCAAAAACAGAGCCCTAGAGAGAGAAAGTGCGAAGAACACCTCCTAAGAGTGGTTTTGGAGCTGGGTTTCATCAATCAAGCTTGGAAATCATCCTTGGAGTGAAGATCATCATCCCAGAGCAGATTCTTCTTGGTAATGAGGTTGTTCTTGATATGCCCAGGGGTCCGGTTGTTCTCCGTAGTACGGAGGTTGGTACTGGAACCCGAATCCATAGTCTTCTCTTCCTTTATTGCTCCAAGGAGTCTCGGGGTAATACCACTCGGGTGGTGGTGGATACCCCCAATTGTTGGAGAAGCCATGAGGATCCATGATTCAGATCTGCACCAACAAAAACAAAAACACCCAAGTGAAAAGCAAGGGTGGAAAAAAAACGCTAAAGTAACAAACTTCTGCCTTTCCTAATAATCTAGAAAGTCCCCGGCAACGGCGCCAAAAACTTGACACGCTAAAACACAACACCTAACAATGGCCAAGTGTAACCAATGAATGTGACTGCAGTATAGTGGCACAAGTAATAAATACCGAATCCACGGGTCTCTAGAGTTACTATTACTCAGCTTCAGTTCATTATCTAGCAAACTAGATTAAGGATTGATTTACTAAACTACTCTACTAACTACTCTATTAACTACAAGTTGGGAACTCACTTAGGTATGATTCTCCCTAGCTCCTCAATTAGGTCCAAGTTGCAATTACCTTTGGTTGATCTACTGTTGATTAAACTGCGGAAGATCCGACAGTAGCTTGGAATCTCTTAAGCTAACCAAGCCCTCTCAGTCAACGCAGTCAAAATCGCGCTTTAAAACTTAAAAGCTTACGCTTTTACCTTTTTGGGTCACCAAAACGCTTCTACGTAGAATCATGATTTTTCCTTACAAATGTAGTCAAAATCTACGTTTTATAACTTAAAAGCTTACGGTTTTACTCTTCTAGGTCACCCAACCGCTTCTAGGTAGAATCACGCTTTTGACTGCATTGCTCTCAGTCCAACTACCCGGCAGGCGACTAACCTTCACCGGGATAGAAAGCTGAGGCTATGAACACAGAACTCCACTACCGGAATTGGATTCCAGTACAAAGCAGTAGATTGACTAACTCTCGTATAACCAATTCACCACCATCAATCAAGGAAGCTCTCTTAACCTAATCAGATTCTATCTATCATAGGTTAAAGCAGAAATCAAGAGAATTTGATCAAGATTCAATTGACTCAATAAATCATGCCTCAATCGATTATAATCAAACAATATAGCATCCAAAACTTCATACAAGAAAGATCCTAACACATGGAATTAGGGTTCCTCAAAACCTAAGTGAAGGGAAGTTACTCCATAGAGAAGAGAGAGACTGCAGAAATCTGATCTAGATCTTCAATCTCCATCTCCAAGCTTGATTCCCGAGCTCCAATGGTGAAGAAATCCTCCAAAATAGCTCTAAGAATGTTCCCAAGTCGCTCTCTCTCTCTAGGGTTCATCCCTTGGGTGTTTGGGAACCAAAAACCCAGCTCTCCCCTTTCCTTTGGATGAAAATCGAGTTTTAAACAGAAATTCCCGATCACACGGCCGTGTGGCTTTCCCAGCTGCCCGTGTGAAGGCTCGGTAATTTCCACACGGCCACGACCCACACGGCCGTGTGGAATTCTAGGATGCTCGTGTGGCTTGCTCAGCCTCTGTTTAATGCTTCGTTTCTCCCTCGTCCGGACTCCGAATCAGTCCCCGTTTGTTCCCAGACGCTCGTAGTCTCATCCTTTTTCTTTTCATGGCAAGCTTGCATGATTCTTTTTCCATAAAGTGAGGTAGAAATCCATTCTTCTTCAGGTCATGCCCGAGTTTCTTCTCCCGAATCGTCAATTGATCTCTGATTGATTTGAAACTTGCGCCTATGCTTCACTTTATGTGCTAGGACCTGAAATGTGACAAAGGAACACAACCTAGCATAAAATAGGCCAAAGAAGCGATAATGCAAGCTTAAACGATCAAGCAACAAAGGTGAAAACATGTGCAAATATCGAGTCATCACCGTGTAGCATGCCTGAAGTCCACTTATCGAAACGCCGCGTTTTGCACACTCACACGGGCAGCTGGGAAAGCCACACGGCCATGTGGTCGGGAATTTCTGGGTATTAACCCAAATTCGAGCCAAAGGAGAGGGAATCGATTTTTTGGAGCAAAAACAGAGCCCTAGAGAGAGAAAGTGCGAAGAACACCTCCTAAGAGTGGTTTTGGAGCTGGGTTTCATCAATCAAGCTTGGAAATCATCCTTGGAGTGAAGATCATCATCCCAGAGCAGATTCTTCCCATCTTGATGAGTATGACTACTTTGTTTGCTGTTTTCCTCTCTCTCTCTCTCTCTCTCTCTCTCTATGGAGTAGAACTCTCTCTCACTTGGGTATGAAGAACCCTAGTTCCATGTGTTAGGAATCTTGATTGTAATTACATTTGGATTGTGATATTGCTTGATTATAATCGATTGAAGTGTTTTGAATGAGTCAATTGAAGTCTGATCATCTTTTATTGATTTCTGCTGCATCCTGAGATAGATAGAATCTGATTAAGTTGTTAGAGCTTCTTCAATGGGTAGTAGTGAATCGATTATACGAGAGTTAGTCGATTCACTGCTTTGTCCTGGAATCTAATTCCAGTAGTGGATTTATGTGTTCATTGCCTCAACGTTCTATCCCGGTGAAGACTAGTCGTCTGCCGGGTAGTTTGACTGAGAGTGCTTGGTCAGCTTAAGAGATTCCAAGCTACTGTCGGATCTTCCGCAGTATAATCAGCAGTAAAGCAACCAAAAGTAATTACAACTGTGACCTAACTAAGGAGCTAGGGGGACTCATTCCCGAGTGACTCTTCCTTTGCTTCAGAAAACCGAACCATTTCCTGCTTTCTTACTACTTTTAGTTAAAACCAAAATCAATCGACTTAGTTGGCTAGATAATAGATATTCACGGAGTAGGTAGTAGATCTAGACCCCGGGTTGATAATTAGAACTTGCCACTTTACTGCATTTCCGGACTGCGATTACACTTGGTCGCAGTTTGGTGTTGTGTTATAGCGTGTCACACCCCATGGATTAACTTCTCCGAATTTATATTAGCCCCTGGTGACAACTTGTCCCTGAAAGGAAAAATGGATTCCACAAAATGAACGTCATGTGAGGAATAAATTCGTCGAGACTGCAGATCATAAATGCGGTAGCCTTTTTGAGAAGCCGGATAACCAACAAATACACAAGGTCTCCCCCTCTCGACGAATTTTTCGAGATTTGGGAGGGTATCCTTGGCGTAAACTAGACAACCAAAACTTCGAAGGTGATCATAAGGAGGTGTGCGACCAAGCAATAGTTCATAAGGGGTCTTGTTCTTGAGCAGGCGGGCAGACGATTAATTAGATAGCTAGCATTCACGACGCACTCCCCCCAAAACCGAACCGGCAACCCAGAGTGAATACGAAGAGCACGCGCCATTTCAAGAAGGCAGCGGTGCTTTCTTTCAACAACCCCATTTTGTTGAGGGGTGTTGACACATGAGGTCTGCAGAACAATGTTGTTGCTCGCATAATACTCATGGAGAATGCTCGTCTAAAATTCCAAACTATTGTCTGTCTGAAACCTACGCACCGACCGATCAAATTGAGTGCGAATCATCTGAAAAAACTGAAGAAGATATTGTTCCACATCAGATTTAAATTTGAGCAAGTATACCCAAGTGGCTCGACTGTAATCATCCACCACGGTTAGCAAGTAACGAGAACCATCCATAGAAGGAGTGCGATAACCGCCCCATATATCCAAATGAACAAGCTCGAAACAGCGACTAGTTTTGATCGAGTGTGGAACAAAGGGAGTTCTAGTCAACTTTGCTCGCAGGCAAGAATCACAATGACCGAAGTCCACACTAGAATTGGAAAATTGCAAAATGGACTGCAAAAATGAAAGCTTCGTGAGGGAGGGATGCCCCAGCCGGGCATGCCAAAGTTCGGTCGAGCTCTTCCTAGTGGCAGCATGAGCCAAAGGTGCTCCACAACTTGCTCGTCTTAGGTCCGCAACTCGCCGAAAATAGTAGAGTCTGTCACGAAGATGTCCCAGTCCAATCATAGTCTTGGAGCGCAAGTCCTGAATAACGCATAGATTAGCCAAGAAAAAGTAAACCAATATCATGATCTTTGGTCAGGCGGCTAACAGAGAGAAGGTTGAATTTGAAAGTGGGCACGTGAAGAAACCTTGTCAACGTAAGATGTTCATTCAAAACTAATGAACCGACTCCCTGAACCGGTATACTAGCACCATTCGCTATACGAACGGGAGAATGAGGGCCCACAGAGTCTATAGTACTTAGCCAACGTGAATCTGGAACTATATGTTCGTTGCAACCTGAATCGATTATCCTTTCATTAAGATCAGAAGTGTTACCGGCCATGTGAGCGGTAGACTCGGTGGATTTAGGTGACGGTGTGAATAAAAATTCCTTCAAGTGAGCGAACTGTGCCCCGCATTAAGCCCCGGGATAGGACTCTCCTCACTCGTAACATTGGCAGCACGTGAGTTCTACATCTCGTCTCCTTTCGTCCGACGTGAATTGCCTCCAACATTGCCGCCTCGATCACTCTCACGTCCCTTGTTTTGTTCACCGGGATAACCAATGAGCTTAAAGCAAGACTCAATGGTGTATCCAAGTTTATTACAATGGGAGCAACGAGGTTGGTCTTCTTTGGCCTTCTTTTCTTTTTTTTAGCTTGAAAAGCAGCTGCTTCCACAGATGGGCGACGTTCACTTGTAATCTGCCGTTGTTGTTCCTCCGAAGCAACTAGCTGATAAGCTTCGGAAAGAGTAAGTAAGGGCTTCATGCTGAGAATTTGTGTACGAACAACTGAGAAGGCGTCATCAAGGCCAAGCAAGAACTCAAATAACCGCTCGACATCAATCTTTGCACGTGTCTATCCAGCAATGTCACACGTGCAAAGACCACATTTACACTGCGGGTTAAGACTGACGGCTTGCAGTTCGTCCCAATGAGTGCAAAGCTTAGTGTAGAAGGAGGACACGCTTAACTTTTCTTGGCGTAGCGAGCTGAGCGTATGCCTCAATTCATAAGCTCACGTTGCTGAACCCGTCTGAAAACGCTTTTGGAGATCTACCCATATATCATGTGCCGTACGAGCTCCTCGCACACTATTGCGAACCTCTTTGCTCATAGCTTTCTTCATCCAACCTTTGACCGTGGCATCACAACGAGCCCATGCCTCGTCACGTATCCCAGGTCCAGCCTTCGATCGCGGAAGAGAACCATCAACAAAATCCATCTTGTTCTTCTCAATTAGGGTTTCAGTCATGTCACTAACCCATTCGATGTAGTTCAAATCTGTTAACAGATCAGTGCCAAATAATTGGCCTAGATTCTCTGACGGATGTAGATAGAGAGGAGACGTGAGTGGAATCACATCAACAGTCGATGTCCCGCTCTCGTCCTTGACTTCGTCGCCAGCCATGATAAAACTTCGAGAAGTACTGGAGATGGACCAGGCTCTGATACCATGAAAAGCGGAATAAAATCGGTAGTAATACGAGACACCAGATATACGTGGTTTCCCCGTTCAAGATGAACGAGACTACTCCACAGAGAACGTGAGTTCTCAGGATTATCACTAAAACGAGATCTCAGTGTTACAGCTTACAATTATGCGGCAGCACCATTTCACTAGCTATATATATATCCTATCATGACGTATTAGGGTTAAGCAAGGTAAACTACATAATAGTCCCCAAACTCCTAATACAGTACATGTAGAGCTCACGTCTCAACAGAAACACTGCATGCAGCTTACAAATTTAAATAACAGGGGGGAAATGAAAGGCTGGCAGCTTGCTTGTGCTAGGAACCAGCTTACTTCGTAGCAACTTTGAGCATTTTGTTTGAAGCCTTCCAGATATTCAATCTTTCATCCAATGCATTGACTTTGTAGACAAACATACCTACTTTCATGTGGTAGAACCCTCTGGACTCGACTCTCATCCATGCTTCTCGAATTGAGCTCCAAAGTATGCTTCACAAACAAGTTCCCAGACTTGGCCATTTTCAGGCAGTTTCCCAGTTTTGGCATAGCCTTTTGATCAGGTTAAAAAACGGTCTTCTGGACTTCCTCGAGCTCCCAAGCACTTCAATGTGTAGAGGGACACTCCAGCTTCAAAACAAGCAATTAATAGAGGGACACTCCAGCTTCAAAACAATCAATTAATCTCCAATTTACATCCAACCAATTGTAAGATATGAATATCCAAAGTAGACAACATAAAACTATTTTTACACTGAAACAACATATTAGGTCGATCTAATCTTAACTGAGGTCGACCGAAAAGTACAAGTTACGGTAACTTGCAAGGCACTATAGGCACACCCTAATTGATAATGTGGAGCATGTCATTGACATAACCAAAACTGATTAGGGATGGCAACGGGGCGAATAGGGCCCGGGTACCCTGTATCCGCCCCCCGCCCATCATGGACTTCGGGTTACCCGTCCCCGGCCCAAACGGTGAAACGGGTCTGGTAGTTGTACCAACCCCATTACCGCTGAGTTTTCGGGTGCCCGCGGGTCGAATATACCCGCTACAATACAATAAAAAAATTAATATATGAAAAAACGTGAAAATAATACTTTATTCAGAATAAATGATAGTCTGAAACTCTGAATTCTGAAACTATCAGCAACAAGATCTCACAAACTCAACAAAGTTGTAATCAACAGCAACTTTAAATCATCCGAGTCTTATTCAAAAGCAAGAACAACTAGCTGACTAAGGTAGAACAAACTCCAAGCCATCCTAACAGTTGAGAGCAAATGTAAAAGCAGCCTTCCTTCGAGCAAGATGCAGCCAACAACTTTATGGATCCCTAACTTTTGCCGAGTCTTATTCCAAAGCAAGTAGCAGCGGTCAACATTCATCAAATGCAAGTCTGCACAAACATTCAAGTAAACATTCTTAAGTTTCAAAGCCTAACAATTAACAACCTCGAGGTTCTTGGGACAAGAGAAGATGATTTGAAGTTATACCTGGCTCGAAAGATGCAAATGGATCAGTCTTCATGGCCAAATGGTGATTTCAAGAACACCATTTCAGGACCGGAAAAACAGGTTGTAAATCATTATGTCTAGCCTCAAATCTCAATGAACACTTGAACAGAGTTAGAAAATTCAGAAAAGGAGAAGTGCTTTTCTTACCCCCAGGTTCTGCCTCCTCCACAATCGTATCGTTGACTGACAGGGCTAAGAAGACTCCCTCCAATGCCTCCACAGCAGCAGCAGCCTCCGAATCTGCAGATAGAAATGAAAAATTATTATTTACACTTAAACAAAATTACTTGTACCAGAATTTGGAGGTTTAGTTGCATGTTACCTCTTTGCATGTCTTCCATTATCCAGCTTCGTGTGCACATCATTGATTCAACAA